ACTCATGCAACGAAAATTGTATTGAATGCTGCAAGAAGGAATTTTCCAGCTGTATATTTTTGTTTTCGATCATGTAACACAATATGGAGAACAACGATGCTATGTACTAATGTTTCATTAACATTTGATTTACGGTTTTAACAACTAATATGTGCCTGAATATGACGTCTTGCGCATGGTTATATTAGAAATATTTTTACTGAAGTAAATAGCGTATATAGCTCCAGTTGGCTTTGTAGCTGGAAAGTTCATTTAGAGCCAATGTTATAATTATGAATTTCTGCATTTATATGTATTGCTTTTACTTTGTATTATTTAACAATACTAAATAATGTAGCTGTTTCATAAAACATTTATTTTCTTATGTTTTTAAAATAAAACATATTTTATTCCTTAGACGAATGGTTGGTAAATATGATAACTTCAAATTTTAATTAGAATAAATTTATTATGTTTGTTACTGTGATTAGCATACGTTTTAAGAAAAATTGCACTTACAGACACTCAGTCTGATAAAATGAGAATTATACAGAGATATTATTTATAAAACAATCATTAACAAATTTTCATTTACATCTTGAGAAAACACGATTACTTACAAACTAAAATCCGCTTGTGATTGGGTAACTCACATGTCATTCTTTAAATAATACTGTCAATATTTCATGCCTGATTACAAACTTTATAATTATAAAGTCACATGTAAAACCAAGTATTTTGGACTAAATAAATACCGTAAAACAAATGATATTCTACTTTGCAGAAACATGAATATCAATATGCTTCTGTGCAAATATTTCAATTAATAGGGTTTTTTTTATAGTTTTTTTTACCTCAATGGTGCTCCTTATAGTATATTTTGAAAATAAATGTAGTTGAGAAATGAATCTTTTTTATTGTCGTACGTGACTGAACATACTTTTCGAACTGTGTACATTTTTGGAGTATGGTTTTTTACTTTCAGAATATATATTTTTTATAGTGTGGCAAGTAACTTATCATTTTCTCTTTATAAACCTGTAATTTATATGTTTTGCACAATTTTAAGAGATACAGTGCTCATCCGTGAGTAAAATATTTTAATCACAGAAATTTATAGAAATCTATGAATTTCTTTCTGGATATGATTAAATTGAATAAAAGAATGAATAAACTAGGTATGGGAAGCTGCGTTCTCTATTACGGTACAAGTACAGTTGGTCCTCTCTTTTAAAATCTGCCAGTTTGTTTTCTTTAATGAAACTACATATTCATATTATAACCACATATAGTGTGTAGAATTTTAAACATAACATATCTACCTTGAATGAACTCAAAACATGTTTATTGAGACTGTGAAGCAATTATCAATATTTCTAATAGCAAATTTAAGCATAGTACATCTTTTAATTTAGACTTGTGGCGATTAAGCAAAATTGAATGTATTATTGGAACAAAAAAACAGTATTATCAATTGCATTCTGTTTGAAACTCTGAGTATTATTCGCCACATATTTTTTTCAATATTCAAAAAAAAATATCTTCTATATAACATTTTTTTCTGTGGTGGCTGATTTGTTTCATGTCGTATTTTCGATTTGGGAGCCAGACGAAAAAACGAAAATGCGACAAAGGTTTTTGCCTACTGTCCCGCAGGGCGAAAGTACGATAAAATGATCATTTGTCGAATTTTCGTGCTCTTGCCTTTCGATTGGCGACAGACGAAACACAAAAAGACGAATGATCGCAACGCAGAGCAAAAGTACGACAAAGTGGTCACTTTGTCGTATTTTGGTGTTTTTCTCTTGCGCTCCGCGGAACAAAAAATACGACATGAAACATATTAGCCACCATATGTTACAATGAGTAAGTGAAAAAATAAAATTATGCTAAAATTACTGTTTATACTATGTCAATTTTACAGCTATAATAATATAGTCTACACGTAATACCATTATATCTAATAATTCGTTTAATGAAAACATCAGTTAAAATCATTAAAAATAAAATGAAGAAGTCTTAATGTACTAGCCTAATGGAAAGCTATGTGAAAAAGACAGGTAACAAGAAGTGTATGATATTTTGTGGGGTTGAAAATAAATTTGATTTCCGTTTCCGGTTTCAAAATATCTTGTTGACTTTATGTTTGGGTTAAGAGGTTTGCAATATGTTCCATCGGAACTGGGAGAACTGTTATCAAAGTCATCAAAACGTGAAATTTGCAATTCGTGAAGACAACATGTTTCATCGGAACTGGGTATACGGTGATGTGTAGTCATCATGATGTCATCATAGCGTTGCGGGTTTCTCTGTTATTTTACTTTCATAGTTTAGCATAGATTAATTCTTCACTCACGTTGCTTTAATCTCGTGACTTTTGGTGATGATATCCATAGTGCATTTAACCTACGGGAAATAATCAGTTGTATCTTATCGCTTAAAATCTGTAAGGGTAATTTCCCTTGGCTATTGTACAAATCAGTCATCCCATGCAGATAGCCAATACTAAATTACATTTAAAGTAAAAGGTCATTACTTGAAAACTTTAGTATTTCTTACAAAGCGCAGAGTATTTTCTTTTAAACATAAACTTTAACCTAGAGATTTATGATAGAAACAAATTACCCTTGAAATATCTGGAAAAAAGCGAGATACTCACTATTAACAAGTTAGATGGTGACCCAACACCCAATTATTGTCATCAATATCTTTCAATCATAATACAAAGTTAAAGACAATCCTACTTTAATTTTTTCTCATTTCCCTTTGTTAAAAAAAATTAAAGTTTCCAATTAGTGGCATCTTACCTCTTTATTATTCTTCACCAGATATAACCCTTAAAATGCTATCAAAAGTTCATACAAAAAATACTGGTAATTAAGGAACGAAGATTTAACGCGAAGAACTAAACAAGTATTTCAAGCGTGCTTTGGGGGGGGAGGGGTGTGTGTTTTTGTTTTTTGTTGTTTTTTTTTTTCTCTTTTTTTTTTCAAACAAAAAATATAACAGAAAAAAATACTAAATGGAAAAGAAAAACCCTGTATGATTTCTACTGTATGATGAAAACTCGGACTAAGTCCGTCTGAAATCGGTTTGACTTCCTGTAAAAATTACAGGGAAAGAACTGAATATTAGAGGGATTTTCATTGATCATTAGTAAATTGCAGACTGAAATCCGGGAATGTTATTGGCCATTCTAAAATTAGTATAATAATTTAAAGGATTTTTCTGAATTGTGTACAAGTTAAAATTATAATTTAAAAAAAACCTACAGGAGTATCAGAAACACACTTTCTAGTTAAATTTTTCGGATATTTGAGATCTGTGAACTTCCCTCTAGTAAATATTTTACACTGTTTTAAAAATGATTATTAATTTTCTAGTGAATATGTTATTCATTATGAGAATTTATCGAGTTATTAATAATGTTCTAAAATGACGAGACAACCAATAACGCCCACGACCCCGGAAAGAAAACATGTGCATACCGAAAGACACCATGCAAGTAAAAGCAGTAATACCTCGTCCGGGTATCTTTAAATAGAACAGAACAGAACATATCGTTTATTAGATTTTAGATTTAAACATAGTTTATCATCTATACATGCATTACATATAAAGGTCATGTCAATTAAATAATAAAATTAATATGAATACAAATATTATTTACGTATATGAAGGTATGTGTTGACAAGCAAATTAATTAACTCATTAAACAGTCGGCAATAAATTCAAATATAGAGTTTATGATAAGTCACTTTGTCGTAGAATATTTTCTCGAATTTTAAGTGCACATTTGATGAACATCACCAAATTTGTCATTGTCTTGTGATTCACAGATCTTAGTAGTTCAATTAGCTTAAACATACTTGGTCGAAGTGTAAAATATTCATTAATATATCAGTGATATTCGTCCTCTATCTCGCCATTTTCACAAATTTGACAAAGTCTAAATTCCCTGTCTATTCTATTATTTCCATAACGCCCGGTTTCTATGCGTAAACAGTGCGCAGATGTTCTCATTCTTGTTATGAAAAGTCTCTGTGATTTGTTCAACAAGTCTAAATAAGGTTCATATTCGAAATTCTCTTTAACATGTTTATATACCAATAATACAGATTTGCTATCAATATCTGAAGGAAACAGTCAACCACTGTTTGTTTAGAACACGGAATCAAACTTTTAACGTCAATAATACTGTCCTGTATTTCCCAAAGATATCCATATCCATAGTTTTCTAATAACACTTTTAACTTATATGCCGAGATCTTTTTACCATGAATAGCATCATTTAACAGCTCCTTATAAACGTTTTTAAAGATACAATTATTGGAATTTAAAACTTTAATCCAGAACTTGAATATCTTAACAAAATGATTTATATAAAGCGGATAGCGCCCTAGCTCTCCATATACAGACACATTACTTACTGACATTTTAACATTAAGAAGTCTTTTACAAAACTTTAACTGCACTCGTTCAATTTCTTTAGCTTTTGAATTACCCCACGCTTTTGCTGCATAACTTAGTATAGATGTTACAAAAGAATCAAACAGCTGACATTGAAACTTCTTGTTTCTCTTTACGTTTGTGTTTATTGTTATCATGGCTAACAAACTTCGAAATTTGAGGTTGTGAAAAACCACTTTCAATGAATTAAAAGTGGATTGGAAATAAATAGAGGATATTAAAGGGTTTTTTTCTATAAATACTGGATTTATTTTCATCTAGTGGTTTTCACGAGTGGTGGTGTCACGAGTGAAATAAGATTACTTTCATATCACAAGATTAAAATAAATCCTTTATTTTTAGAAAAGGAAGCTTGAATTTTCTGGGGGGGGGGGGGTTATATACTTTGTCTCTTTTTTAACCTTACAATTCGTAAGACTCCTCCTTTATTTTTGTGTATTGGCTGGTTAAGAACAAAGAAGTCCGACCAGACAACAATGAAAATACGGAAAATGTGTTTCACTGTTATGTAAATTAAACATTTACAGTGAAAAAACGGAAAAATATAAATATGCAATGTCTCAATATTTTATTTATAAGTATATAATAAATGTAACAACATACATTGTATTCATAAAATGAAAATTTATTTCAAATTGCATGTGTTGCATTGCATAAATTTGATAACGTTAAACTATGCGCGTCTTAGAGTAAAATTGGTATAATAATTCGATTAACTCAAAAGGTATGATAATTTAAATCTTGAAATATATCTCATATCATTTACACAAGGTATCTGAACAAATTTGCTAAAAGTGCTTTTCTTTGGGTCTTAACATTTTCAACTCTTAGTCAATCATTAAATGCTAAATGCATATCGTGAAACTTTAAGAAACGTCTTTAGAAATGGGAAAAGCGGGTTTTATAACGTTTAGGTAATTTAGAGCAAGTTATATGTTTATTTCCTTAGGATAGTAGTGACAAATGTGAAGTTATAAAGTTGCAAAATATAAAAACTAATAGTATTTTTGCTTCCATACAAATTCTTAATCACTGTAACAAAAAGCTACAGATGCAAAAGATGATTCAGGAATCTGGCCAATCAGTAACGTTTTAAAACACCACAAAAAATTTTAAAAAAGCTTTTGAAAAATAAAAGTAAAAGCATTCTGGAGCATAATGGGTCTTTAATGTGTCTTTGAGTAAAATTGGTACATTTGTATATTAATTCGATAAGCTCAAAAGGGACCCCCTTTGGGGGTCGAAAAAAATTGTTAAAAGAAATCTAAAAGTCAAAAGGGTCTATAGGTCATCTTAAACTCCTAAGAGGTCGAGAGTCAAAGGGTCGGGTTCCCTAAGGGATCGAGAAGTCAAGGTTCGGGAAGTCATCTTAAAATCCTGAGGGGTCGAAAAGCCATAGGGTCTAGAAGTAATCTTAATAACCAAAGTGGTCGAGAAGTCATAGGGTCTAATTGTCTTACATGTGCCTTTAAATAAGATTTTTTATTGTACGTATAGCTTCTTATAGTATGTCAATCAACAATTATCAGTGATAAATTATGAAACATGTAATTCTTTATTGCACTTATTACAAAAAAAGTATTATAAACTTGTCATCTTTTTATCCTATAAAATGTTGAGACACAACTAAAAAACAACATTTTTTTCATTTCTGAGAAATGCACACTACAATAGACATATATGTCTTGAAATAAGTAAAAGCAGGCCGACACGAATACATCAATTTAGAATTTGGAAAAAGTTTGTATGTCTTCATAAAAGTAAATACTATAATTGTATATATCCTGCGAATTTGTCGAAATCAGATTCTAATAGAACAGTCTTGATCCCCATTGTGTGTCCACCCAGGACTGCAAATTGTTTCATAATAGTAAACGGTTCTCCAGTAGGATTTATAGTAGAAACATCCCCTGCAATAGTTAAAAGTAATTTAAAATCTCAAAATAGAAAATAAAAAAGACCACTAGTGTGCCTTGAACTGGCTGCCGGTACAAACTGGAATATTTTTAGCAAAAGGTAACTTTTCACAGCGTTAACGAGATTCTGAAACAAATAACCGAAAACTGTACATTCCCTTATGTAACGACAGTCAGTTGTGTTATTACCTTTCTTGCACAATACATAAAAAATATGTTTTTTAAAGAAGTAAACTATTGCAAAAAACAGTCATGTGAATCAACAACTTTTCTTATCTCGTGCACGCCAATCACAGGTTTAACAGTTGAAAAATCTTTCTTGTCATGCAAGAACACGCGTTATCTATTACCCGGAGCATGACTTATTAAGCGGAACATAATAGAGGTTGCACTTTTTACAAAAACCGAGTCTGAAAATTGTATGTATCTGTTTTCTTTATGTCCGAAATGCCAGTATGTAGTTCATCAAAACTTACCACCAATCAGTCCATTTCGCACAATAACGCTCTAATACTTTTCTGTTTCGTCTTACTACTTCGAAGTGTCTGAAATGCATAAATTTCTCAAGTAAGGTGAGTCAAAGTCAAAGAATAAAATGGTAGCAAATAAAACTGAGAGTTCATGTCTATAGGTAACCTTTTGTTATGTAAGAAATTCAAGCACGATTTAAAAAAAGTCTTTTAACTGGAACTAGTTTTCACAAACAAAAGAAAATAGCAAACTTGGGACTATTTAATAATAAATTTCCATGAACATAAATATACTTTGCGTAGGTATGTCACTCTTACAATTTTCATGCTTATATTAACAAAAAGGTAAATAAAAAAGGGCATTAACATCTTTTCTTATCCAAAATTATGTAAGTTAAAATGAGGCAAACTCTCTATAAATCCGTACTAATTCATAATGTTCGTTATTCATAGAATTTTAAATGTTGAAAATTCGAATTTCGATTTAAAAAAAATTCTACATATTTATATGAAAGAAAAACATAGAGCAAACAGTTTGATATTGATAAATGGTCTTTTCCAAATTGAAAGATGGTCGAGTCCACAAACTTAAAGCAAAACAAGGAGTCCAAACCACCTTAGCAGCTAAAAGATGCAGCCTCCAGTAATTCGAACACATTACGTCGCCTCTTAAGATCACACAGGGCTAAACGGTGACTGCAATTCTGATACCTCAACACTTAAAGGCAACCCCTCAGTCACAAGGGGTACACAATAAAATAAAAGACCTGCAATAGATTGGCCGTATAAGATATGTTGCATATCAAAATGAGAAATATATCACTTACCCTTCCCATGCATCTGTTGTATCCAGCAATACAATGAAACACACAAATACTGCTAATAGATTAATATGTTTCATTTTTGCGTATCTGAACTAACGTTTTTGTTGAAAAACAACCTCTGAAGTGCAGATGATAAATGAAAATAATAACGGAAGTTTTGCTCTTATACATACAATAATAAGACAAGGAAGTTTTGTATATGCACGTGGTGTTTTATTGAAATCGCCATTGAAAATGCCAAAGCCCGCATTTTAAAATAAAAGATCAAGAGCTTTCAATTGGGCTAATGACTGAAATCACAACAGAAATGAACTTCATTCCTTTAAATATAATTTCTTTTCATTTTCTGCATTTTAACATATCATTAAATACTTGTTTCTAACACAGGTTTCCCTTGATATAAATATCTGATGGGAACGGATTTATTTTTTAGAAAAGGGTATTACTAAGTGTACAAGTGTACACTTAAACAGAGAATGAAATTTCATGACTCTATTCGTGAGTAGTAACTGTTTTTATAGGGAACTTTGCTAGATAATATCCTTTGATGAAAGTAATAGTTTACATGTTACGTGCGATTAAAGTTTGATTTTGCAGTATTTTTTCACCATATTCCTGTTAAGTGACTAACGATGTATGGGTTGGGTAAGCTTATTTTTTAACTCTTTTACGTGGATTATAAGTTCCATATGCAATGTGTAAATTACTGTCTTTTTCCACTTCAAAAATAAATTACTTTGAATACATTTTCAAACTTTTCATGAAAATACGCATGAATCTGGGAAATACTTGAGAAAAAATATTTTCAGGGTCTAAATTCCCCATATTTACGCAAACGTGTGCAATTTTTTATGTTATCAAGCGCATTTAAACAAGTACACACTTTAAACTTTAAGGTAAAATAGCTTATATTTTATAAATATATGCTAAGTTCGTCAGGAAAGCGGCTTTATGTTAGATTGTTAAGGATAAACTTAACTTTTTTATTTAGACCGACCAATGCGACTGCTTAAGTAGTTTTAGTGCTTGAGGAAAATCTAAAGTTTTATGGTAAAATTATTAGGAATTTCTCATTAAATATTACACTTTTTACAAACGACTTCCTGATCAAGTAGAATATAAACTATAAACAGGTCGTTGTTGATGGTCAAACCGACCTTACTGATAGTGTTAAGGGCAAGGTAAGAGTATTTGCAGACGATAAATAGTACATTTAACAATTAAATCAACCCAAGACGCCCAAACCCTCCAAAAAGATCTCAATAGTCTTGAAAACTGGGAAACTGATTGGTTCATGGAATTTAACCCAGAAAAATGTGAAGTCCTTAGTATCAGCCACAAGAAACATCCAGTAACATTCCCCTATAATTTACATGGTCAACAACTAAATTCCACTGAGGCTGCAAAATATTAAGGCGTAACAATTAGTGAAGATTTATCATGGACCAATCACATAAATAACATAACAGCAAAAGCAAATAATTCACTCAGATTTATAAAAAGAAATGTCATAACTTCAAATAAAAATGTCAAAGAAACTGCCTACAAAACTTATGTAAGGCCCCAGTTAGAATACTGCTCCACGGTTTGGCATCCTTGGCAAAAATATCTGGTTTACAAAATAGAACAAGTTCAAAGGTCAGCTGCCAGATATGTATACAAAGACTACAATTACACAAGTAGTGTATCTAAATGATAAGTGAACTTAATTGGCAAACCCTAGAACAGAGGCGCAAAATCAGCTCTGTTACCCTTCTCTACAAAATGCAACACAATCTTGTGAGGGTCGACCATCACCACCTGACACCCACTAGAAACCTGAACTACTATTCAAGGACACAATATCACTCCTATTCTTTTTTTCAAGAAGTATTCGTCTGTGGAATGGCCTACTCGTGTCCTTACTAGCTAGTCCCTGTTTAGACCTCTTAACTGGGCAGCTGCATCCCTTTTACCAGTTACCTAAGCCAGCTTTGTTTTTAACTTTTATCTTATTCTTGTAGTAGTTTTATTTAACTTGCTTTTACCTTGTGTCTATAAATTTGCTCTTAACGCGCCTGCTTAGTGTATTCGATTACCATTTTGAAGCAGTATAATGTAGATGTAGATGTAAATCGGAAAAGAAATATTTAAGAATTAAAATTTATTTTCCAATTTCCGATTTTTGACCTAAACACGCTTCCGTAGTTTTAATTGTTTGCAGACTTATATTAACCAGTTATATAAACAATGTTTTATACACAGAAACAACATATATTTTATGTACAATAAATGATCATCTGCTTGTAACATATTAATAGGGCCACAAAGAGATATTTAACCTTCATTTGATGCATAATTATGCATTGTTCATTTCTCTGCTGTAAGCTCGATTTGGGCTCAAATATCAAAGGTTTTAGTTATTGTTTAATGTTGAAATTCAAAATTTATAGGAATTATCACAAAATATCATTTACTTTCTTTTATATTCCTAGAAAATGGTAACCACCACACCAGTTGTTACTGAAAGAACACACCGGCCAGTCAGCGCATCCACCATTTTATACGATTTCACGTTACTTAATGACGTCATATACACAGAAAGCAACTAAAGACCCTTTTATTTAAGCAATAACAGTCAGGGAAGAGTTACTTCCCTTACCGGGTGTGACGTAAATGGGGGATAAAACAATGCAGGCCGCATAGAATGTTAGATGATTGAAAAGTTAAATGCGTAAATACTGATCGTTCAATTATGATTATAACATGTAAATACTTACGCATGCATACATAAATTCAATATCAAGACAATAGAAAAAAATACAAAAACAAAGATTGAGATTAATTCTCGCTACGGAGTGAAACAGCGAAATTTCAAAGTGAATATATTTATTAGATCAAGATTTTCTCTAATGCCAGGATAAAAAAGCTAGTAACTAAATCAAATTTTAATATTTTATAAACACCCATGCACACTGAAATTGCCTATCATAAATTTAAATGGCCATTTTCTAGTTTTTTGTGTTATTTTCTGTCAATTAGAAAATTCCGGCGTATTTGTGACAAACATGAAAATAAGATTACCAATGTCTTTTAATGGTTGTTTTTCAAGCTTTAATAGAACAATAACTGACTGCATTATGTCAATACTTACTGATTCTTTATTTTTTTGCCGTATACAAATATTTCAAAGAACCAGTGGAGGATATAATTTTATAAATATTCCGGAAGAACGAAAACCATGTGACATTGACTTTTATAATTTTAGATTCGCAACAGACGATAATAAGATAATTTTGATGTTAAGAATCTATTCTTATGGTTATAAAATTAAAGACCCTTTTCCCAGTAACTTATTTTATAGATTAATAGATGTGTATATATAAGCGCCACTTGGCCATTACATATTAATTAACAAAGTGCATATGTTGTATATACAAGCGGCACTTGGTTGTGATATCATAAATCACCAGGGTGCCTTTTTTAGAGTTATAACATTACATCAGATTACGTCACTTTTGTTACTTGTCAAAGTATTTATGGGCCAAACTTTGTAATGGATCATCCTAGGGACTTTATTGGTCATGCCTTACTGATTTGATACTCTATCCAGAGTCCTACCAATTGGCACAGTCAAAAGTTCGTAAAATTATAATTCAGTTTAATCACGAATTCCTGTGAACGTGTTGCACAACTTTTTTGTGATTTTTTTTTAAATATTTGATGAGCAGAGTGTGAATTAAAAAGTATCAAGTTGAAAATATTACTTAACCAGCTTAAATATATTGGTTTGATGTACGATTTTTTGAGAGTGCATTTTTGCCGACACAAATATATACAATCATGTACATGCAAACTGATTTTTTATGAACCAGTATCTTGCAATTTATTATTACGCAGCTGTTTTTCGAAACTACAGAATCCTTAAATTTTATCTTTGGGGTATTGTATATTTGCAGATACATAGATATAGATAATGTATAAACAAGTTAGTACGAACTGCCTGGTAAACTTTTCATTATTAAGAATCTAACGAAAATGGTAATCATGATCAGTTACCCAGCAATATGGTTTACTATTGAAACAAATCGTTACCCTTATTATAGTAAACATTTTTATTCATTGATGTAATAGTTTATTCAAGTACACAACATTTTGGCAATTTCAATCTGCCAATCTACAAGGGAAAGGATTGAGATCTTCATATCCCTCTATTAATGTACTTAATCGTATCGGCATTGTCCACAGTACCCCCTGATGACGTCATCGAAGGACGACAACTTGAATACGGTCTTAAATGAAAGGGTCTATACAGGACATTTTAAAAAAGTTTGATTATCTAGATTTTATAAAATGGAAGCAGTTAACATGCAACTTAGATAAATTGCAAACTGTATTTAGAAATGTATAACTTCAAATTTGCGACATATAGAAATGTTAACAATAGAACGGACACAACACGTTTAACGCTGTGCATCATGACGTTGGGAATGGAACTGCATCAGTTGACACTCTCAGGTTGACAACACCACGCTTACCTTTTACATTCTAACGCGATTAACATTTGTAAACGATTTTGCAACTTCCATAACTGGAATTATCACGGAAATAGACGAAAATTAATAGGCGCAGCCAATTTTCACGAAAGCAGCATATAAAGAGATGGTACAAAAATATTACAAATTATATAAAACTATTATAAATTTCTCATGCATCAGCTGCATTTCAGTTGACTTTGAACATCCTCTGATTTTGTTAAAACGTATTCTAGAACAGGATATTCAAGAAATGCAGAATTGGTTAAGATATAATGTAACAATATAACATCGTTGATACTCAGGCCAAGTTTATTCATTTGTACATCACAAGATAGATGCTAATGCACTTATACAGCAACTAAAATGTAAAAAATGGTTAAAGGGTGATCCCACGGAACTCTTCCAACACAAAATTCAATGAAAATTGCAGACTTGGTTTGATTTAGACTGTTCATAAAGGGTAATAAAAAAAATATGTAACATCTCTCGAGCCGTCTAGCGCCGGCTTAAGCTTTACACTTAATGTGCTGGAATCATTGACCCCGAATGGGCAGAAACTGAAGAAAAATATGGGGACACTTTTTATAGCTGCCATACGGCAGTTGACAACTGCTGGGGTGACTATGGTGAA